GAACTAGGGCTGCCTAGACGTCTATTCCCCCCTCTCAGCCTTACTAGCAAAGGAGAGGATAAACCAATACAGTTAGTTACTAGCGCGGCTGCAGGAGTTGACGGAAGGTAGTATAAAGTGCCGTCCATCCGCCTTAGGGGATCCACACCGGGTTTGATTTCAGAACTGTCCTTCTCCTAGACCAGTTGCCATCCAAGGCTATAGATCACAGTCTGTCCTATTATTTACCCATAGCTGGAGGGAGAAGAAGAGGATTCACACCTTTCCCAAGGGTATTAGCACGTAAGTGAATGTAATGGAATTCGAACTCGGCTCTCCGATTCCTCAATCCAAGCCGCTATTAATCACTCCACCGTTCCTCCTCAATCCCAAATAGTACTAATATTATCTTTATTCTCAAGAATGATTCGCGTACTTGTCAAATATTGATCAACTCTGTTTTCATATGTAAACAAAAAATCAAATCATAATGGCAGTCAATCTCTGGCAGGACCCAAAAACTACATTTTTATGGTAACGGAACTGATCCAATCTTTGCTATCACATTGTAAAATGAAAGTTATCCCGAACAGCAGCCCGTCTATATCCTTTCGTATTAATTCATTTTTATTAATGAGCTTCTCGGTAGCATCAACTCTCAACTTAGTATCTACGCTGATGACACAACCATTTACTATTCTCTTAACAGTAAGTCTGATCAGTTCGATAAACTCAAAATGGCAGCCGATGTCCAAAAAGATATTCAGCTTTTGCTAACTTGGGCAAAAGATGGCGTCTTAAATTTTACCACCTTCAAAACTAAACTGCTCTCCATTAATCACCTGAGAGACCCTTTTCTGTCTTTCTTGACTGATGCTAACCGTAACTAGTTGCTCCTTTTCGAGATAACGTTCTCAGCTGAGATCAAGTGGAAAGAGTATATTTAATCCATTGCTAGGTCAGCTGCTAAGAAATTTGGTTCACTGGATCGTGCGAGACACTTTTTTCTCTCCAGAATCTATCCTATATATTAATAAGTCTACCATTTGTCCATGCATCGAATATTGCTGCTACATATGGTCCAATGCTCCTGCTATTTATCTAGAGTTCTTTGATAACAAGAAGAATCAGCAATATTATCGGTTCTGATCTAGTGTCTCGGCTTCAGTCACATTCCCACCACTGTAAGGTTGCCTCCCTGTGACTTTTCTATAAATAATTTTATGGTAATTGTTCGGATGGGATCTTCGCTTTGGTACCTAGACTTTTTGAATTTAAGCGCAGTAATAGACTAGAGACGAGGTCTCATCAATATACAGTTAAGCTGGCTTGATATAACCGTAAAGTCTATGCTAACAGTTTCTTTTCTTGCACTTCTTGCTTGTGGAACTCTATTCCGACTCCATGCTTTTCAGCCAACATTAATCGTCAAAAATTTAAATGCAATGTCAATGCTATCTACGGCAGCGAATGTTGGACGGTTTCCTGAAAGATGAAGAAGAGACTCGTGTCAACGGAGATGTTGTTCTACAGAAGGACGCTAAGGATACAATGGACAAAACATGTGAGCAACGATGAGTTTTTGAAGAGGATGCGAACAAGGATGAAGATTATACCTAATATCAGGAAGAGGCAGCTGAAATTTCTGAGACACGTAATGAGATATGAGAGCCTGGAGAATCTGATACAGGGTAGAAGTGAAAATGAGACAGGGGAATCTGGAATCTTGGAATGCCACGTGTGACAAACCTGGAGGGCTTAAGTAAGTGGAGGACAGAACAGGGTTTGGGAGAAGTAGAAAAAGGACAAAACATATTAGGAACTGAAAAGGATAGGGGGAAGTGGAGAGCCATGATCGTCTACGACCTGAAGGGACACGGCACATAGAAGAAGAAGAAGAAGAAGAAGAAGAAGAAGAAGAAGAATGCTGTAAGTGATCAGAGGAATTGAATTATTTCGAATTGTCCTCATGCTGAAACATGCAAAGAAGGATAGATCTCAAGAGCATTCAATATAAACAACAGCCCATTTTGAAAAACTGATATGCATGAAACAGTCTATATACATGCTATTTTAATGTGTATTAAAATTGTCTATATACGCACGATAGGTAACATGCAGATAATACATACACACACACACACACACACACACACACACACACATATATATATATATATATATTATAAATTTAATTTGTATATATTATTCATTAAATCTAATGATATATCAATGAAGTTCACCTTTTTCAATTTAGTACTTACAGTAATTTTCAAGTTCAGGTATTTAAATTCCCTCTATATTAGTTTTCTAATTTTATCAGTTTTTGTAGAATTCTTTATAACCATAAGCCCATTGTCTTTGTACAATCCAATGTCACATATACTAATTTCGGGATATGCTGTAAGGTTGTATAATATTAAAATAAAACAAAAAACTATAAGGTCAGAAGACTCTTCAGAGTCCAATAATCCAATAAAAACACACTAAAATTAAGTTGTAGTTGTGCTGAAAACTTAGAAATGATCATTAAGAAACATTGCTAATATCTTGAGTACACACTTAGACCAAAATCGAAAAAAAAATTAAAGTATAATAAAAAGAAATGATGATAAAGAAAAAATTATGTAACTGTAGAAATCGTCAGAACTGTCCTCTTAATAATAAACTTCACACTGACTTATTCGTGTGCCAATGCAATATCTATTGAGGATCCAAGACAAAGTTAAAGTCTACATTGGATGCACAAGACATGAATACAAAAGGCGTTGGAACCAACATCAAAGTTCTTTTAAAATAAAAAAGATACCTAAATCAGATAAATATTTCTGGTATTTAAATGAAACCAATAAAACACGTACAGTAAAATGGAAATTTATAAGAAAATCTAGGGTTTGTAGGTCATTAAATGAGCCATGTCCTTTTCTCATACATGAGAAATTATACATTATTATGTTTATGAAAATAAAAATGTACTTAATCAAATAAATGAAATAGCTATTTTTGCACTGTCAAGGATTTTTCTTAAATAATGATTAAATGTGAAAAAAAAAGAAGAAAAAGAAGAAAAATGAAATATTACATATTTATACTTGATCTGCGAATAATAATTCTAATATATTTATTTGTTTGCAAAAACGTATAGTCTATTAGTAATTAGAATTAGGAATAATACTTTAAAATTATAGGAATAGATTTTAAATATTGAACATAAGACGCACTCATATTTAAGCGAAGCTTTTGAGAAAATCCTTGTGTATAAAATTATAAATTAAGCGGCAAAATAAAAAAAAAATTCCAAAAACTTTTTGTCATTGAAAAAAACCCCAGACGACATGAAAAAAAAAACGGATGTCATCATTTGTTGAATAGGCAGAACTACCCTACCTTAACCGGATTTTGAAAGTAACTCATATTTTGATACAACAGTTGTCAGTAAAAATGAATACCCTATCACCCCTTGTCAAAATGATTGGATTTCCATTAACCTTAGCAACTAATATCAAGAATGTATGTGCTTATAAAATCAGTAAATTTCAAAATAATCTATTACAAAAATCGCTAGAAAATGAAACAACACTAGGGATTTTAAATTAATTCTATAATTAAATTTAAAGTTTAATTTGTGTTTTTGAAACATGGTAATTCCTGTGTAGCGGTAGGATCATATTAATTTGGGGGATTTAGGCTTATAGCAATGAATCTAGAAGCATCCTCAACAGAATGCAGAAAGCAATGGACGGCCGTTTTCCAGATAGGACGAAACGGCCGTCCAGTGCTTTCTGCACATTTTGTTGAGGATGCTTCAAGACTCATTGCTATATATATATATATATATATATATATATATATATATATATATATATATATATATATATACAGAGGCTGCGATGTACAAATTGTCGTCTAAATTATGCAAAAAGGAAAATAACACTGACATCACATTTTAACAGATATATTAACCAAAATTACACAGATATATCTTGCAATACTAAAGCATTTATTTAATAAACTCACCATTGGCTTCAAAATCGGTCACCGGGTGACTTCGGGATCTCTGCATCTCTTCCGGACGGTCTCCTTGTTTATTTTTGGTGAAAGCTGCTATCATCCATGCCTTCAGTTCATCTTTGGTGTTACAAGGTATTTTGTTGGTCTCTTGCTAAACTTCACCCCGAACATAATATTCAAGGAATTGCAGTGTTGGTGGCCAGATGTAAGAGGTAATGTGATCACAGGAATTGCCTGATAGCCATGACTGGGTTTCCTGCTTGTGTGGCATAGTGCAGAGTCTTGTGGCCAGGCATCCAGCAGCACACTCTTGACCCATGACAGCACTACCTCCTCAGGGCACTTGATGTCGGCATCCGTGGTCAGTCATTCCCTGTATATATATATATATATATATATATATATATATATATGTATGTATATATGCGTGTGTGTGTGCATGCGTGTGAGTTTGGGTCCGTTTCTCTGTATGTGTGTTTATATATATATTGTATATATATATTGATATCTTCTGGTATCTTCAAACCAGCTAGAATATTCATTCGATAGAATAGATTGTTCTCGTTATGTTGTACTTATTCGAGAATATCATGTATTAGTGAATTTTTCCTTGGAGACAAAAGAGTAAGTCGCATCTGATAATCAAGAATTAGACAGTGAAAGTCATACAGTTCGGTGGAGGAAGCGAAAACGAGATTGCAAGGACGAATTCATTGTTACGAGAAATCCATTAGCAAATTGATTACAATATAGTCTTGTAGATTGAATAAAGATTTTGGTTAAAGATTTTCATAAAATTAGCAAATGCCATAGCTAAGTTAAGAAAGCTTGGATGCAAAACAATTGAATCCTTATCATTATAATAAAGCAGATGAAGACACACTTCGAAATAAGACAATGAGAATTCACCATTTAAAAAAAAAATCTACAAAATAATTAGAATAACATGGAAAAATTCTGTTAGAAGAAACCAATACTTGATTAAAATCAAGATCAATTGTTATTAGTCAATGTTAATGAAATTTACATCATCTTATATTTTATCTATCTATCTATCTATCTATCTATCTATCTATCTAAATCGAGTAATTTCTGTCTATCTATGTATGTATCTATCTAAATCGAGTAATTTCTATCTATTTATGTTTCTTTCTAAATATCTAAACCGAGTAATTTCTATCTATCTAAATCGAGTAATTTCTATCTATCTAAATCGAGTAGTTTCTATCTAAATCGAGTAATTTCTATCTATCTATCTATCTATCTATCTATCTATCTATCTATCTATCTAAATCGAGTAATTTATATCTATCTATCTACATCGAGTAATTTCTATCTATCTATCTCGAGTAATTTCTGTCTATCTATTTATCTCTCTATCTATCTAAATCGAGTAATTTCCATCTATCTATCTATCTATCTATCTATCTATCTATCTATCTATCTATCTAAATCGAGTAATTTCTATCTATCTATCTATCTATCTATCTATCTATCTATCTATCTATCTATCTATCTAAATCTATTCACCCACCATCTCTTTCTAGCAATCTACATTTACGAAAATCTCCATTGATCTTGACACCTTCTCATAAATTTGACGCATAATTTGTTGCTGGCTAATCTCAATTTTAAATTACAATTTGAAACGAAATTCTGGACAATCAAAGACTTTTTTTTTTATATATATATATATATATATATATATATATATATATATATATATATATACGAAGAAATATAGATTTAAGTTGTGCTATATTTATGTGATAAAGTGCTGAATATCAGAGATAGAGCGTATGTAAATATAAAAGTGAACCTTGAAGTCAACACTCAGAGGTGACAGGCTGTTTCACGCTAGACGCGTCCCCTCTCAGTATTGACTTCAATGTTCACTTATATATATATATTTCTTCGCTACACAGTAATAACCATGTTTCAAAAAGGGCAGCTAAAAACTGCAAATTTAATTATATAAGTAAATTAAAAGCATTAATTGTTATATCTTCAAGCGAATTTTAGCATAAATTATTTTTAAATTTACTGAGTTTTAAACGCACATATAATTCATAATTTCTTGTTTCCAAGGATACAGTGAAATCCAATCATTCAGGTATATATATATATATATATATATATGTACATTTATAATATACACTGTGACATTGATATATCTGTCCATAATGGCACGACAAACATCCTGGTAAATGTATGTATTCATCCACGAATAAAAAATACAGACTGGATACGAAGTTTTATGAAACTAGACTTGTTACACGGATGAAAATCCCAATGTGAATTAGAGTTTTTCCGCCCGCTATATGGCAAAGATTGGTCAAAGTAATTTATACTTGAAAACGGAAGAAAAAAAAAGAAAGTATATTTACGTTGCAGATATCTGGACTCCCCCAGAGCAGGTTCGTGTTTCTATCATGAATAGGAAATTATTACGAGTCACATCGCTAAGTAAATGGAAAAGATCAGTTTTCGGAAGGGAAAATAGAAAAAAAAATAATAACGTTGATGTGTGGGGGAACGATGACATTGTGAGTTTTTATTCTAAGAGGAGGTTTCTGTTGGAGATAATGGCGTGGCAAGTGACCAAAGGAAAAATTCGATGTGTTTTCAGAAGCTACTGAGACAAATAATTAAGAGAGAGAGAGAGAGAGAAAGAGAGAGAAAGAGAGAGAGAGAAGACAGAGAGAGAGAGAGAGATAGAGATAAAAGACAGAGAGAAAGATAAAAGAGAGAGATAGTTGGGGATAGAGATGAATGTGCGAATAATTTCGAAAAGAACTCGGCCGAGCATATTACTGAACTACTTTTGAGATCAACTGGAGAAGCGATAGAAGAAAAGGCAGAAAGGTCGAAACAACAAATGCATTAAGCAAAGGTATTATGCCCAAACTCTCGGTCAGGATGTCTTGAGAATTCGTTAGCACAACTTTCTCTGTATTCCGAACAGTTTCAGAAACATAGTTTCACCTACAAGGGTCATCCCATCGTATGTTAAATGGTAAACGTAAAATTAGCCGTTCCCATTTGGAGTTCGGCATTCATTGAGCGAACAGTTAGCATCACTCTTGCTTGAGATTTATAGATTTTTATTTTCTTAGGTAAGTTTTCAGAACCTACAATTTTCAGGCAATATCCAACATGGCCGCACGTTTGAATCGTTTCATCAAGAAGTCAGCTCCTTGACAAATCGACTATGATGAGGTTCAAAACTCGGCGTTCATGGTTAGATAGGTGAAGTTCTAAGCCCCGAGTTACACACCCACATGCATCGATAAACAAATGAAATCCTTTCAGTGGCCATTGTCTGTTTCAATTTGCCAAATATCAACCACCGAGATTGCAATACGAGATGCATTTGCAAAAAACTGGAAAGACTAGTAATAAACATAAAAAATAATTTAATGCCATCTTTACACTTAGCATGCTTTAACCTTCGTGCAGAACAAAACAAGTGTCTTCAAAGGACAGTTTTTCTCTTGACACCGCTATTCTTTAACTACCTTAGCAATGTTTATTCTATTAAAAAGCGAGGATTAGAATTGCTTTAAAACCTAAACAATGAAAATAAATTTATACATTTTTCTGTTCTTTACAATAGAGAACAAAAAATATTAAACACTATTTATTTACTAGATGCTTTATTTACAAGAATATCATATTTACAACATTCTAAGAACTAAAACAATTATATTAAACCTAATGCAATACAATATTTATCATTTATCAATTCATAATAAAACGTTTTTTCCTGAGTTTATAAACATTTACTAAATTATTAAAATATTTAAACCAACTCTAAACATTTCAATAAACATTATAATAAATAAATCGGGTAAATAAACAATCTAATAAATATATATTGTTTATTATTTTTGTTGTCAGTTCTCGAAAACAAGGAAAATATATGAATTCACTTTTATATGTTTAGCTTTTATTTAATTTCTAATTAACGGTTTTGAAAACAATAAACAATAACGAGGCATCAAGGCCTAAATTCGACATTCCTCCATTGTCACAAGTTAAGGAAACCTGTTTAATTAGCTCTACATTATTTGGTTACAATAAATAAGGTTACGTCCATCGAAATGATTGAACTTCTTTCTAATATCGACTATAAAGTCAAAGTTCAACTAGAAAGTATCAAAACAAATATTGCTTGGTTCTGTAATCATCCAAAAGTAATCGTTGATACAGTTACACAGCTTTCACATGTAGAGAAAAACAAGATAGGTTATAAAATATGCCACTAGCTATTGAAGTTATATTATAATCACCAGTTCCTTCACTGGAATGATATATGTTCTTTTAACAAAAGGTTATAATTTGGAACAACTTAGATGAGATTTGTGAAAACCATTGATTGGGATGGGTGCTACTGTCTTATTGGATTTCTCCCAGGGCTACCTGTAGTCTCATACCAACACCTATTGTTGAAAGAGAACACGTAGTCATAACACTAAAATCAACCAGGAAAAAAGTCTACCTGTGCATTGCAAACTGAAAGGTATCTGATACATTGAGAAAGGTGCAAGAAAAAAAAAAACTTATGCAGCTAAACCTCCATCATTGACAAACTTTTGAGGACCAAATGAAATGTACTGAAGTAATGTGAGAACTTACATTGTTATAATGTTTTGAAGATTGCTACTTTCATTGTTGGCTTGGATAATCAAATGTATACCAATCAGTACAATCACCTCAACACTACTCCTTCAACGACAAACTTGTGTGGACCAAATGAAATGTACCAAAGTAATGTGATGACATATTGTACTAATATTCGTATATCACTATTATGTAGTATATTTACATTTTACTTATATTGTTATAATCCACAGCAATGTAGCAAAATTTCTTTAAAAGGATTAACATGAGATTATTCCCCAGAGGCCGGGTAGTTTTCATTAGTATTGTAGTTATAATTTATTTTATGCAATGAAGTTGCAAGAAATTCTAAGATAACATCGTATTAGAAGAAAATTTGGAATATGGCTCATGCAATTGATACAGTTGTATAAAGAAAAGTGTTCAAGGGACTCTTTTTCATGTATACGAGTGTTATGGAAGACAAATACAATAAACCAACTGCTCTTCTCCTTTATAGATATTTATTAAATTTAATAAATTGGCCAAGTCTGTATTAGGTGGAAAAGTGATTACACAAATCTTTCATCTTGCAATAAGAAAAACAAAATTAATTTTGAAATTTCAGTTTAAACAGTAATAATAATATTAGCTGTTTCTTTATAAGGAAACATTAAGCATTCATTGACTGAAGAGCAAGTACTGCTTCCAGTAGAGAATTATGAAGCCTTTTTGTTAAATTCCTAACTGAAAGGCATCTGGAAACCTGAGAAAGTTAAAAGAAAAACAAAAATATCTGTGGTTAAACCTTAATCAAAGACCAAATGAAGTCCTTCATGTACTGAAGTAATATGATTTCTATTTTTATATTGAATTCTTATTTCATTTGAAGATTTTTGAATTGAAATCATTATTAACAAAAGCAGTAAATTTCTTAAAAATAATTACGAATTTACATGAAATTGGTATCAGGGACCCAGTAGTTACTGTTCTCATAATTTTTATGTGTGTTTCCCGTAATGGATCACAAACATGATACCTGCAAACTCGTAGGGGCAGAACGTGTACTGCAGCCGGAGTTGCAGTGATGTTTCCTGGGCAGGAGAGCCTGACGGAGGCCAACTCTATCCAGGCTGATTTTAAATTTAGAGTTTTTTCTTCTTCTACATTGGTTGACACCCACTCCTATAGGACCCAATCTGTCCTGACTATTTACATATATCCTTAGCGGATAGAAGAAGAGATGTCGGTGAGCTGACTTCTAATTCTAGTTAAGATTTTTTACGATCACCTTCATATGCTCTGGAGACGGAATCACTTTATCAATTCTCCCTGCAGATATAGGTTAAATAGCGGGGTTGACTCGGTCCTTATCTCTTTATGGTGGCAACTAGTCTAGATGAATATATGAATAATTTATAATGAAAGATTATGAGCCCTATGATAGTCTATCAGATCTGGTCGGTTTTCAAGATCGTTAACTGTATTTTTAAACCTTTCATCACGACAAAACACACATTTTTTTCTCGAGAAGACTCTCATCGGAGAATGCATTGACGTTCGTTTTCTACGGCCTGCTGTTCTTTTTTAAACTCTCCAATAGTCCGACAAAAACCGTCACGAGCATTGCCTATTAAATTTTACCATCACCAATGACATCATTTTTTTAGGAAATTTCAATGTTTCAAATGTATAGACACTATCTAAACACTGTTTTGTAAAGGTTTAGAAATAAAGGTATTTCCAAAGTGATTTTTCAATTTCTCTCCGAAATGTTTTTTCGGGATTCTGATCTTTCAGGATTTTAAATTTCGGGATTATGATCCTTCGGTATTTTATAATTTAGCAATTTCAAATTTCGGGATTTTAAATTCAGAATTACGATATTCGAGATTATGATCGGCACACACACACACACACACACACACACACACACACACACACACACACACATATATATATATATATATATAC